CAGACTGAATCTCACTTTAGCTGGATGTGTCTCGTTCATCATGCACCCGTGTTTTTTTACGGCCTGAGGGCCCAGTTACATAATGCATCGCCTGCTTTACTTGTGAAGTATGCTGCAGCAAGTATTAGTAGATATTGTGATGGGAATACCCCCAAACATTTTTTTGTGCTATAATACCATTTCAACAGGAAATGAATAAACACAGCATGGTAATGTATAAATACGATTGCAGAGGTTAGGGTTCAAAAATACCTGTTTACCTCTGATCGTCTTACCTTACCACAGAACGAAACTGAGGCTTATTTTTACTAACTGAAACCCAAATGACTTCTGTCCCCCCCTTTTTCCTGTTAAGCAGCATTAAAACTTGCTTGAGATCAGCGATGGTGATGGTCCTGGGATGGAAGTAGTGTTCAAATCTTTATATTGTGCAAGAAGAGAAATCTGCAACGTGCTGCAGTTCTTCTACATCTGATACAGTTTTTTTTTCCCTCTGTTTTTAGTACTTTGATAGAAAAAAAAAGTTTCCTTTTCGTGATAAACACTCTGAGATGATAGCAAACAGCTAGAGATGTCACATGTTATCACACTGATACAAATCTGAGAGGCTGATTGAAGCTGCAAAAGTTGTACTAATCAAGTTAATGGAAAAGTCCACAGGCTGATAACACTGTGGGCTTTTTTTGTCACGGAAAATATCAGCAATGTAACGTTTAAATAATAAAATTCATTAAGTAAACATAGAGAACGATTAAATATTTTAAATATGACTCTTCGCACACTTGCAAATATTTTAATACTGTTAATCAATATTTAATGGGTAGTGTTCACATGGTAATCTTTCATATTTGAAAAGTTCTTTGCACATCTGAGAAATATGAAGAGTAAACCCTTATTTTAACAGTGGTGGTAAAATAGTAAACAGCCCTATGAAATAAGTCTCCTCTGATGTCTGTGGCATATTAAATGTCAATGTTAGTGTTACAGTCCGGCAGGATACAGAACATGAAAACTGATCCTGTATGGGGATCTCTTTAAGCACTTGAGGCACACCAGCATCGCTCACTCGCAGGCCAGCTTGCCATCAAAGGATGAGAGGGTAATGGCAAAAGCTTGCAGGGCACACATAGGGAAACTGTAGTCCATAGAGAAGACGTCCTCAGCTACGCGGCCGAACTGCATCACGATGTAGTCCTCTGGAAAAAACAGGAGGGCATTGAAGTTAATGAGCCAAATCGTTTCTCCAGAGACGGACAATAAGTCGTCCTACCATTGTCAGGGTGGATGATCTGGAAGTTTTTGACAGAGGCCTGGGTGACACGTCCGTGAAAGTTGAGCACGTACGACTGAGTCTGTTCGTTCCAGCTCGGGGATTTGTTCACCAGGGTGACCAGTTTGTCCGTGTTGCCATTTGCATGGCGGGTCAACAGAGTCTCCAGGTCCTGGAATAAGAGGATAAGATAAATAAGAGGATAAGATAAGTTGATCTGAAATAATTCACTCCTATCACAGGTTTAATAACACTGTGAATGAGTTTTATGTTTTACTTATACATTTTTGGGCCGGATGACCACTCTTTCATCATTCTCCAGCATGCCGGGGATGAGCACCGTCATCTTCCTTGGACCCTTGAAACCCAGCACATTTGTCTCCTGGAATGTGATAAATGGTTGTGATGCATGTTGGAAAGCTTTGTCTGTTCTGCAAATAGCATGTGTGTGTGTGTGTGTGTGTGTGTGTGTGTGGTACCTACGTAGCAAATTGCTGCTAGCTCTTGCCTCACTGATTCACACTCTTTTATGAAAGGTTTTTTCTCCGGGTTTTCACCTCCATCATAGACTGTGAACTTTGTACCTAGCACATTTGACCTGAAACAAATGAGTCCTATCAGAATCACGATCTAAAACGATTTGAGCTAGCACACACACCACAGATGCTTTGATGCTCACTTATTTTTTCCGGTAAGTAAGCATTGCAGATCTTTGTTAGGGAAAAGGCCAGAGTGGTGACAAGTGCTTTTAAACCCCCATTAGCCGGGCTCACTCTTCAGATGGCTGTCAGTTCACTTTGGTCCAGATTGGAACGCCAGCAATCACAGATTTTTTTTTTTTTACACATTCGTGATGCTCTCACACTAATCTTATGGTGCTTTTTCTTGAGTTCTTTATGTCTGTAGCTGGAGCCTCCCATGTGTCATAGATTCTATTGCAGGGCAAATGATTTCTAGCCAAGCCAGACACGTTACTGTGCATTTGAAGTGTTAAGGAACAGTTGTTAGACATAAGGCAACTGGGCACGTGCCTGACACGAGCTCTGAGTATCATAAAGGAAATGTGAAGGAGTGTGTACTTTGGTAGTGGTGAAGTGGGAGATCTGTGCACGATATATGACGGACGCTGCTCAACTAAAGCCAGTTTACTTTAAAACCACGCAGATATTTCATACCTCTCAAAGAAGCAGTCAGCTGGTATAATAAAGCAGACCGTTTCTTGCCCTGTTCAGCTGTCATGAGAACAGTTTGACCATATGGCATGTAAGAAGTGCCAATCCATCTTACTGGAGGTGCTTTGGAGGTGTGAAACGCCTCCAGATTACCTTAACAAACTTACAGCGAGAGTGCCAAAGGTCGGCAAGGCTGTGAATGCTGCGGATAAGACAATTCTTTAAAGAAAGCAAAGTAAAAATCACAACTTTTACTTTGCTTTACTTTTACTATAATTCGCTGAATTAATTTTTATGAAAAACCTGAATTTTCTATGTAAATAAAAAGGTTTAAAAAGTGAGTTCAGCTGTCCAAAGATCTCCAAGGAAACTTGGGATGAAAATGACCGAGGTTACAACCGATCAGAGCTGTGGCACAAGACCAAAAGACCGGATCATACTAGATGTTTCAGTTTAAATGGTGAAATCACCTTAGTTTTCCTATGTAGGAGTTTGTATCTCTGGATAGATTTGTGGGGTCAGTGGAGATGAGATAGTTGGATGTTTTGCACTTCTTTCTCTTTCGGCCCGCCATTAGAAACACCTAGAGGTGGCACAGTGGTTAAACAGAGGGAGAGGATGATGCTTTGACACAAATACGACAGCAAAATGAAATTACTGTAACTAAAATCAGTGTACCAACCCTCTTTCCATCCTCTTTCTCCATGTGGAGGTAGTAAGTTGGGTAAATGCCCTTCTCCATGCCTCTCCTGTCCCTCGTGACCCTGCACTGGATCGTCACATCTCTAGGAGCGGGACGTAAGGCAAACTTCTCAAGATCTTCCACTGATATTGGAGAAGTTGGCTGAAAAGAGAAAGGATGTGAATGATTTTTTGAGATCTTTTCCATTTGTTTTTTGTTTGTTTTTGCTTCTTGCGCTTGTAACGTCTTACTCTTTCATTAGATTCACTGGCTGTAGATGAACTCTCCCTGTAGTTGGAGTTCAGGGACGCTAGACTTCGTGTAGTTTTCTCTGCTTTGTGTGACTTTTTCTCTTTTTTCTCTTTCTCTTGGACCTCCTCGTCTTTGCTCTCGTCACTTATTTGGCATCTGGCTATAGAGATAAACAATGACAATGTTCTTTTATGAAACTTTAAAGAACCGGGGATCATACGCAACATCTCCAAAAGTTGATTCTGTTCATCTGGACGTAGCATTTTGTGGGAGAAACGTTTCGTCAGTCGAGACTGAAGAAGTCACTTGGATGAGTGACGAAACGTTTCTCCCGCAAAACGCTACGTCCAGATGAACAGGATCAACTTTTGGAGATTTACTTTCCTGGATGATCGAGAATGCATCAAGACATCATACAGAACAGATTTTTCTCTCACATGTGTCCAGGTCTTTTTTCCTTTTGGGTGTTTGAGAAGCATTCCTCTGAAGCCCATCTTCTTCTTCTTCTTCTTCTTGTTCAGCTTCACTTTGATCTTGTTTAGTCTTCTCTGGGCTTACCTCTGCTGACACTGCTTCAGACGTTAAAGCCTCCTGTAGGTTCTTCTCTGTAAAAGAGCAGACATTTGCATAAAGCTTGATGTGAAGCTCCTTTAATTTAATGGAAGTGGGTTTTTTCTTGTTAGATGCAAAACTCTTAGAGTGGAAGTGTGAATTTGTTTTATTACTTTTGCGCTCTTGTTTGGTTGTCTTGTTCGTCTTCGGTGCGTCGACAGAGTCTTTGCCCTTCTTCTTTGTTTTTTTCTCCTTCTTCTCCGTGTCTTTTTCTTTCTTCTTTTCCTCTGTCTCTTCCACCTCTGAAAAAGCAGTTAGTTGCTGATCAATAGGCGTCTGTAACGAACAGCGTTCATCAAAGCACGGGACAGTTTCTTACATCACCGCTTACGTTTTGCTTTGTCCTTTTTCACATCTTTCTTCTTTGTTTTTTTCCCTTCCACTTGGGCTTCGGTGGCCCCTTCACATTTCACCTCAGGCTCTCTGTCAATCTCCAAGTTCATTTTCTTGGGAACGACTGGCTTCTCTGCAGGCATCTCATCTAACTCCACATTTGCTGTTGCGTCACCTTCACCAAGTGTAATCACATCCAGTGGGTTATCATGGGCATGCTCAACTTGATCTTCAAAATAAGCAAAAAACAAACAAAAAGATTTATAAATGATAAAAATGAAAAAAGAAAATCACACATTGTAAAGACATGTTTAGTTTTTTTTTAATGATTTATTCTAATTAATTATTCTAACACCAACCACTAAGAGAAGTGCTGCTCAGTGATTGGCTGATCAACAGAGGCGTCTCATCAGAGTGGACAGCTTTGTGCTTTCGATTCTTCTCTCGAGTGTCCCGGTTGGTCAACACCATTTGAGAATCAGCTCTCTTCTTCTGCTGCTTCTTCATCAAAAGGGTTCGCTGTGGGTCACACATCAGACAAACTCAGTCTCTACACAGTGTTCACACATGGAAATATAATTACATAGATATGGTCCAAATGGGCTCTTGAGAGTCATTAATAAAACGATGTTCTGCTTTCTCTCTCATGCAACTGA